CAGTTGCAGACATAAAAATAGCTTTTTGTGGAGTTGAGATAGTTTCAAATTGTTAACTTCAGTTAAAAATTGTTAACTGCAGTTAAATGTTGTGTGGAAGTTGTATGACTTTGTAGTATCGTATGGAGCTTCACCTGTGGAACTTGTAGGAAGTGCAACTATCTTTAAATTCTGTTGCTTTATTTAAATCCTAAAATTTAACACAATTTTAGCACAATATGTCATTATTGGATATGCCATTGCCACAAAATTTAATTGATATATATATATTCAGTATATATTTAGCAGCAGTTTGATTAAAATGATGTTCATAAAATGAGAAAAGTTCTGTAAAAACTGTTCACAACTATTTCAGCAGTATCATAATTTTGTAAAATACATGTTAGTTAAAATATTTGTATCATACTTCGAACATTCGAGGTACAATCTTTAATACTTATACTGAGTTAGGAGCAGATTAAACCCTTAAACTGAAAACAGTGAGTTACAACTTCCTTATTTTTTTTAATGAAGAAAAACTACAAAATTCTGTAAAAATTCATCTTAATATTATACATCTTAATTTTAATATAAAGTTGAATTTTTAGGTTAAAAAAAGCCCAAAATCATTATTCAGTAAGGAACCCAAAAAAAAACTTGTATTAGTCAGAATGGCATAGAATTACATTTCAGATTACCAAAATTTAAAAAATTATAAAAATGAAATGTTCGTCTAATTTTGTAATCGTGAGACTTAAAATCTGCCTTACTTAGATATAGCCATTTACTTTCTAAAATAAAAAGTTTTAATAATACAGAACTGAATGTATATGTTTATAAGTAAAGTTTAATGAACGGGTGCACAATTTTAATGAATCTCCAGTAGTTTTTGAGATAAATGTTCCTAAACAGTAACATTTTGCTAATAAGTGACACTTTGAGAAAAACGAGTTATGGTATATATAGTTGTATTAAGTACTTAGTCTAATTAATTAAAAAAATATTTAAAATACTACCATTATTTAATCAACCGAAATTGTTAAACAAAACTGCTAAGAATTGAATGAAGTTTTAAAAACAATAAATGTTGAAAAAAAGTTAATTTCTGATTTAAATGCGTATGTTGGGGGCTCAACCAGTGTGCATGATAAATACTTCACTAAGAAACAATAAGAAAAGATGACTGAAATATTAGAACTTTGGACTCAACTTTGGAAATAGATGACTGAAATATTAGAACTTTGGAGTAAACTTTGGAAAAAAGATTACTGAAATATAAGAAATTTTGAATCAACCTTGGAAATAGATGACTGAAATATAACAACTTTGGAGTAAACTTTGGAAACAGATGACTGAAATATAAGAACTTTGGAGTAAACTTTGGAAAAAGATGACTGAAATATAAGAACTTTGGAGTAAACTTTGGAACAAGATGACTGAAATATAAGAACTTTTGACTAAACTTTGGAAATTGACTGAAATATTAGAACTTTGGACTCAACTTTGGAAAAAGATGACTGAAAATATAAAAACGTTTGACTTAGAACTCAAGGAATGTTAACTTAACACAAAGCTTCGCCAGCTGGGTTGTTGTTGTCTAGAGGGGTGACTGGTGTCTAGAGGGGTGACTGGTGTCTAGAGGGGTGACTGGTGTCTAGAGGGGTGACTGGTGTCTAGAGGGGTGGCTGGTGTCTAGAGGGGTGACTGGTGTCTAGAGGGGTGACTGGTGTCTAGAGGGGTGACTGGTGTCTAGAGGGGTGACTGGTGTCTAGAGGGGTGACTGGTGTCTAGAGGGGTGACTGGTGTCTAGAGGGGTGTCTAGAGGGGTGACTGGTGTATAGAGGGTCGACTGGTGTCTAGAGGGGTGACTGGTGTCTAGAGGGGTGACTGGTGTCTAGAGGGGTGTCTAGAGGGGTGACTGGTGTATAGAGGGTCGACTGGTGTCTAGAGGGGTGACTGGTGTCTAGAGGGGTGTCTAGAGGGGTGACTGGTGTATAGAGGGTCGACTGGTGTCTAGAGGGGTGACTGGTGTCTAGAGGGGTGGCTGGTGTCTAGAGGGGTGGCTGGTGTCTAGAGGGGTGACGTGTGTTTAGAGGGGTGACTGGTGTCTAGAGGGTTGACTGGTGTCTAGAGGGGTGACTGGTGTCTAGAGGGGTGACTGGTGTCTAGAGGGGTGACTGGTGTCTAGAGGGGTGACTGGTGTCTAGAGGGGTGACTGGTGTCTAGAGGGGTGACTGGTGTCTAGAGGGGTGACTGGTGTCTAGAGGGTTGACTGGTGTCTAGAGGGGTGTCTAGAGGGGTGACTGGTGTCTAGAGGGGTGACTGGTGTCTAGAGGGGTGACTGGTGTCTAGAGGGGTGACTGGTGTCTAGAGGGGTGACTGGTGTCTAGAGGTGTGACTGGTGTCTATAGAATGACTGGTGTCTAGAGGGGTGACTGGTGTCTAGAGGGGTGACTGGTGTCTAGAGGGGTGACTGGTGTCTAGAGGGGTGACTGGTGTCTAGAGGTGTGACTGGTGTCTATAGAATGACTGGTGTCTAGAGGGGTGACTGGTGTCTAGAGGGGTGACTGGTGTCTAGAGGGGTGACTGGTGTCTAGAGGGGTGGCTGGTGTCTAGAGGGGTGGCTGGTGTCTAGAGGGGTGACTGGTGTCTAGAGGGGTGACTGGTGTCTAGAGGGGTGACTGGTGTCTAGATAGAGGGGTGACTGGTGTCTAGAAGGGTGACTGGTGTCTAGAGGGGTGACTGGTGTCTAGAGGGGTGACTGGTGTCTAGAGGGGTGACTGGTGTCTAGAGGGGTGACTGGTGTCTAGAGGGGTGGCTGGTGTCTAGAGGGGTGACTGGTGTCTAGAGGGGTGACTGGTGTCTAGAGGGGTGACTGGTGTCTAGAGGGGTAAGTGGTGTCTAGAGGGGTGGCTGGTGTTTAGGTAGAGAAAGGACGGTTTCTATATATATTTTTAAAAAAGGTTCCGTAACTCATTTTGTAAGCTTACTTACTAGTTTAAAAAAAATTAATTTTCATTTGAAAATATCAATGTTAAGTCAAAATATAAAATTGGTAAAGATTGAAAGCATGATATGTTACACAGCTACAGAATATTTCAGTGATACAAACTTTTAAAAAGCTTGTAACAACATGATATATTACATGATACGTCAGTGTTACAAAGTTAAATAAAACTTGTAACAACATATCTTACAGGATACATCAGTGTTACAAAGTTAAAGTAAATAAAACTTGTAACAACATGCTATGTTACATGATATGTCAGTGTTACAAAGTTAAAGCGTGTGTCTGTGGTATGAGACCACCTGTCGTTCCAATCCAAAAATAATTCAAAAACTTGAAGCCAAGTTACAAATAAATAACACGGTGATGTGGCACATAGTGGCGTTAGGGCAGGCGTGACACTGGTCAGTGGCATTGTCTTGTGGTCAGTGGCATTGTTTTATGGCCAGTGGCATTGTCTTGTGGTCAGTGGCATTGTTTTATGGCCAGTGGCATTGTTTGATGGCCAGGGCCATTATCTTATGGCCAGTGGCATTAACTGGCCATGATCCTCAAAGACTCACACTGTCAGGTTATTTATAAAACCATTAAAATAACAACAACTTAATTAAGATAATTAAAATATTAATAAAGCATAGCTTGTCGGATTTAAATATCAATAACATATAATCAAATCAAATACTTTAAAATGAATAACAACAACACACACATCATTTAAATATTAATTGCTTCAAATTCAAATAAAGGATCAAATTTAAAGGCGGCGTAGCAAAACATTTAAAAGTATAACAGATAAATTAGACTAGAACCAAAGTTTTTGAAATGTTTTTAAAATTATTTAAATGTAGATTTACAACCACAACAGATCACTGTTATAGAAAGAATAGTTCAAAAGTCATTCGGGTGAACTAGTATTTCAAAAAGTCATTCGGGTAAACTGGTAGTTCAGAAGTCATTCGGGTAAACTATTAGTTCAAAAAGTCATTCGGGTAAACTAGTAGTTATTTGGGTATAGATCTAGCAGTACTGTATCTCGACCCAACATTTGATCTAATAAAAACAAGCAGCAAAAGGCTCCACCTTGTCGTCTGCTGCTGTAGTCAGCAATAGGCTTGAAAAGTCTGTGTAATCAAACTATTTTTTTAATCTTTAAAAAAAATATGGCTAGCTATAAAATTTATAGTTACATTTTAAAAACATAAAGCTGTTTGAGAACCATTTTCATATTTTTGTATTGAATATAAGCCGTTGAAAAGCCGTTTAGAATTTTATCAATTCAAATATTAAAAAAAAAAAAAAAAAACCCGCCCCAACCTCTCCTTGAAGTCAACCGGAATGGCCAGAGAGAGTAAAACATTGCAAGGCAAAACAAATGTTTTCCATGATAGTGGTCTACGGTGTATAGCCTAGTATTGTATTCATATAAAATAATATAAATTTCATATAAAATAATATAAATTCCCTATCACCACAACACCCTGACTCTACTAATCCAAATTAAGAATAAAAGTATTTGTTAAATTACTATTATATTACTATTATATTGCTAGCAATTATTTCTTTGACTATTTCTAGCCTTAATGAAACCGGAAGTCATTTTGTACTTATTACACAAATGTCATAAAATATTCAATTTTGGTTGAAAAATATGCTTTCTGGCAACAACCATTTTTTGGAGCCAGCTTTTCAAGCCCATTGTAAGAATTCTGGTTACAGCTTTTAGAACTTAATCTCTCCGTTATTATTTAAAGTGAATGTTACATTTTTTAAATTTAAAAACTTCCATATTAAAAAAAAAATATAAATACATTTTTTAAAATTAAATATCTCCATTTTTTTTTCAAAAAAAATAGTACTTTTACATTCTTAAATTTAATATTTCCTATATTTTCAAAATTCTTATTAGTAAAAAACTTATATGTCTGCATATAAATATTTTTCATACAATCGTTGCTAATTTCTTTTTAAATCTCTATATGTATTATATTTTAAAAAGTTTTTACATTTTTAAATA